GTATCTTATAAGTGACGTACTATTAACATGTTTAGAATATGTTATACGTAATTTTTTAATCGTGATTTACGGAATACAAAGTAAATATGTAAAAAAAAGTTGTCTCAGTTTACACAAAAAGTGCTTATATATAAGTGATTTCAATCGTGATGACAAATAGAGTTTATATCTGGCTCTTAATGTAAAAATTAATTTAATTTTTAATTTAATTTTAAATATAAGACTTAATCATTCATATTTATTCATTTTAAAATAATTCCTATGATAGTTGTATATGTTAAAAATTTTATCAAATGATAATTTTAATCAATACACATGATTAACAAATATATCTATAACCATTTATTACAAATAATTAAGTTAATTTTTTAATCTATTTTAATTAGTCAATTAATTTTTATATCATCACAGGCAATATATAGAAAATTAGGAAGAATATAAATGTCACCTCGAGGAGAATTTGACGTGTGTCTGGGTCAAGGTCGATGTCACTCGATGGAAGGAAGTGACGGAGCAGTTTTTCTGCATCTTCGTCGCTGAGTAGTTTCATGAGGCATCGGCTTCCAGCTGCTTTCATTTCAGTTCTTGAAGTCACCAGAATTCTCGAATCTTTGTGTTTCAGACTTATCATTTCAACAATATTTTCTGTGCGAGGCCACACGTCGTCCAATACCAACAGCACTGGATTTTCGCCATATTTAGCCAGCCCATGATCCCGCAACTTCTGGATTGCTTCATCCACTTCAATCTGTGAACCCAGCGTCTCAAAGAAGATATTTTTCTTGAATTTACCTGCCAAACCAGACAACAAGACGACAACTACAGAACATGATGATTGTGATCAATAGTACAAACATGGGAGACTACCTTGGACTTGAGGATCACGACAGAGCTTTTGAGCCATTGTGGTCTTCCCGGATCCCGGCATACCATACAAGTTTATTACTTGCTCTTTACCAGTAAGCAGGTTCTTCTTCAACTCTTGCATAGAATCTCCATCCAATCCCACTGTAAATTTCGGGAATCTCTCATCAAGAGGATCCGCGAATTTATGTGCGTAGTTGGTCGGGGGTGCGAGGCTAGGAGGACCTTTGGAACTCAGCACAGAGAGGATTTCCGTGAGAAGATGAAAGATGTGAATTTGTGTCTGAACAGAGGCGAACCTTTCTAAGTTGGCCCCTTCTTTTTGAAGTTTCTGCTGATACCATGGCGCAAGCACGCAATTCCACCAATGGATTTTGAGCTTTCCAATGGCCTCTGTGTTTTTTGCCAATAGCTTCTTCAGTTCCTGGACATGTTTGAGTCCAATTGGGAGATCAAGCCGCTTCAAGGAATCCTCGATCCCTTCAACCACTGGACTCAAATCTGTGACGGTTGCCTCCAGACTTTCGCGAGTGCTATTGTATTCTAGGCCTCTTGTCACTATAGCCACACCATCTTTCGCTAAATCCCAAGCAAGCGAAACATAGTCTGCCATTAGTGACGAGCTCTGTTTCTGCAAGTTTCAGTCTTGATTTACCAGTGAATGGGAGTCTTTGCAAGGTTTGAGTTAATAAAAAACGAAGACGACATAGTCTTGGAGTAGACCCGGCAAAGTCAATTACTTGGTGTGTGCGTGATAATAGAGCCCGAAAATTCCACGAAATCACACTCTTGTTTCTAATTTTCCATGACCATTGAACGAAGAAACGTCAAAAAGGAAATTTTTTTTTAATTTTATCGGTTTTTATGGTTTCCTTTCATATGTATTAATTTATATACTCACAGTGGATTAATTTATAAGAGATATGGCGGTAATGATTAATAATGTGACTCTCATTGGTAATGGATTGGGATTGATTTTTGTACATGGAACTAAATAAAATTAAAATTAATCATATTAAAATTATATATGTAAGAAAATGATTACGTGCAAAATAATTTTTTATTTTTTATTTTAATAATAAACAGATATTATTTCAGTATCTCACTTTTGAAAAAAATATTTTGTATTTTGCGAAAACTTAAAAGAAAAATTATCATCTTTGAGAGGTTGGGTTCATAGATTCAGGTCGACGAAGCAATGAACATGTTGCAGGATCAGCTTTCACTTATTTTATGGACCTTGGGTTATTTCCTGAAGATCAAAGAATCCCCATTGCTGCATTGTAGACATGTGGATTGAACTGTTTGACCCAGATGAACCAGGAAGCTTATCTGCAATGCTCACCATCCGAGAATTAATAGCCATGAATTTGGCTGCCGGCATCAAAGTTAGAAGGTAGGAGTACATGACTGTGCATTCTTTTTCATGATCAAACAAAAACCATTAGAGAGCAGAAGGAGACTAATCATTGACATGTTTGGGAATTAGAATCATCCTCCGAAATGGTGGCCCAAGCAACAACAAAGCCTAACTGCTCCTCCTATCCTGTCAACCACAAACCTGAAAGTTCTTATAGTCACCAATTATGGTGGCTGTAAAACTGACTTAAGAAACCTGAAGCTACTTTCCTTATTAAGCCTTAAAAGAATCAGATTGCAGCAAGTTTCAATTCCCTCCTTGTGTGATCTGAAGAATGTGCACAAGCTATCACTTTACATGTGTGATGTGGAGGAGGCTTTTGAGAACAGTTCCATTGACTTCTCAGAAGCAATGCCAAAGCTGGAAGATTTGAGCATCGAGTATTGTGAAGATGTGATGAAGCTGCCTACTGGGCTCTGCAATATCGTCACCATGAAGAACCTCACCGTAAGTAGTTGCAACAAGTTTATCAGACTGCCCGAAGGAAACGGGAAGCTTGAGAATTTGGAATTACTGAGGATTATTTACTGAGTTGATTTTGAAGAAATGCCAGAATTAATCACAAAGCTGAAGAATCTAAACCTTAAAAAGTTACCAGACAAGATTGGTGAGCTGCAGAAGCAGAATCTAACGAAGCCTTACATGACAGGTTACCCAATATGAGAATTGCCAGAATCAGTGATGGATTTTAACAAGTTAGAGAATGTGATATGCGATGACTATGCATTTCCCTTATGGGAAGTCATCATTACTTGCGTTTCCAGACTGAACATCAAGATGGCCGACATCGATGTTAGCTTAAATTGGCTTTCATGAACTTGGCTTCCAAGGTTTCTTCATTTGAATAGACAAAAACCTCTCAGGTTGGTCTGGATGTTTGTTTAGCTTTCTTAGTTGTCTTTTGACTAATTGACTTGTGCAGCCAATTTGTACTTTTGTAGCACAGGTGTGTTGTTGTTGAAAACTACGAGAGATACAATCTTTTTTTTTTTTTATGTTTACTTATAATCAATAATTTTTGAAGATTCAAGCTCTAAAGTGAAAGATGATGCAGAAGAAATTCAGAAACTTATGAGAGATGAATAATGGTGTGATCATTAGGTAATGATTCCCAATGGAAAATTTGGAGGTTCCATTTCAAAAGCAATGGTTGCAACTTAATTTCAATTTCAAGCTTAAATAATTTTAGAATATATTAATTATATTGAAAATAGAAGTATTAAATTGAACAGGTATTAATACAAATACAACTGACCCCTCTTCCCCTTTCCCTCGTTGTTCTTTTTGTTTTCTTTTTTTGACATTGTTCTGTACTTTAATCAAGTATCAACATAAGTTTCCATATTATAAATTATTAAATTAATTTTATAACGAAGATATAAAATTAGTAGCAAGTTAGAAGATTTATAAGTCATACAGGGTCTTATTTAAACTCTACAATATTCAACATCCACATCTAGTTTTAGAGAATTCAAATGCTTTTTTTATTCCCTCTTCTAAAAATTCTCAATATAATGAAACAAACTAGCTAAAGGCAAAAAGATATTAAAAGGTCCAGTTAATTCTGACCAAGGATTTTCAATTGTTTTTTTTTTTGGGAGGGGAATACAAAGATGCATTATTTGAATGACCTTTTGGAATCTTCCGTGCTTTTTCCTGTATTATTGGGACGAAGCTGAGTCTACAAAAGTATTTGTCAAGTGTGTTGACAAACTGGACAATAATGTTATCAGAATTCATAAGCAAATAGCTTAAATAAAATAATTTATAATTAATACTTGGAGTAGTAGGAGGTTGAACCCATAAAAACATGAGTCTATAATTGTTGAAAATTGAACGTCTAAACTAAGTCTTGTGTGTGTGACCCTTAATGTCTGGGGAAAAAAAAAGTCTTGAATATTTAAATTTGGGTTAATATTCATTTAGTATCCTGAATGTCTTTCCAAATAGCTCTAGCATCTTTTATATTTTGTCGTATTCTTGAAAAAAATTTTCAGATGTATCTAAGATTTAAATTACTACCTCCGGTTTTAATTATAAGATTTTGCTTGTAAATTATAAACAAAATCTTATAATTAGGATTGTAGGCAGTATTTTGCTATTCTTCATCAGGCATCCTGAAAATTTTATTCAGGTGTGTCAAAGGCCGTAATACTTTGAGATAAAATTACACCACAAAATATGTTAGAATATTATATGTATCTACTCCTCCGGTCCTTAATATAGGACCCAATTGTTGAGTTGATTTTGGTCCTAAATATAAGACCCATTTATCATATTTATCAATTTTCTCTAAATTACCCCTATGGATACTCTATCAACCATAATCAAGTAGAAGATAGAGAGGAGTATTAAGAAAAATGATTATGATATTTTAGGAAAAACATGTCACAATTTTTATAATTAACTAACTTACCTAACTTCCTTAATCTAATCAAATTAGTTAAATGGGTCCTATATTAAGGACCAGAGGAGTATTAATTTCTTTTATATAGTTTTCCTTCATTGTCTTTGAAACTATCTGCTGAAAGGGGAAAATCTTCGTGGAACTCCTTTTGCAGTAATATATTAAAATAAAATTGCAATGCAGTGCCGGTGAATAAATACACGGACACACACGATCCAGTCTATCACCATGGTGGGTTTTTCAAAATAACTTTGACTTTGTGGTCTCTCTCTAAATTCTTTTTGGTTGTTTGGCTGTTTTCTTGCCGGAGAAGCATAGACTGGAGCATTTGTGGGGAAATAACTTGGAACGTTCACGGCATCTTCGAGCTCTATTGAGGACCTTATCCCCATCATTTCCACTCTTTGATCTTCGCTGTGGTTATTACTGTGTTTACACGCCACTGTTTAAAAATCAAGACTGCTTCATTAAAATTTCAATTTGAGAATTTTGGTGTTCGGGTTTTTCTGGTGCTGAAACCGAGCTAGTTACCAATGGCGGATCCTTCGATCATCCTGGAGTTGGTAGAGAAGCTTTCAAATATTGCAGGAAGAGGTCTGGAGTACAGAAGTACTCGCCAAATTCTGGAGTCGACCACCAGGGATTTGGGTCCTTTGGTTGAACAGATTGGACAATACGCTCAGGAGAATGATCTTCAAACTGAAGAAATTGAGAAGCTGAAAAAGATAATAGAAGCCAACCAGGAGGTTCTTGAAAAGTGCAAAATCCGTCCGCGGAATTTCTGGCTTGCCCCATACTTTCAAAGAAAGCTCGATGAAAAGTATCAGTCCCTTCTAAGGTATTGCTCAGTTCAGATGCAAACGCAGATAGCAAGGGATTTGAAGAGAGCCCTGTCCAAGCTGAGTTCTGATGATAATAGCCCTGGGAACCAAAGCACTTCATCTCAAGCGTCTAAAAGAATCAGAACACGGACTTTCAAGGGTAATGAAAGATTCCCAGAATTTACAGTGGGTTTGGATGGTCCATTCATGAAGGAGTTGAAGTCTAAACTGCTTCATGGGGACGAGCAGGTCTTGAATTTGCATGGCCTAGCAGGATCCGGGAAGACCACTTTGGCTAAAATACTCTGTCATGATCCCCAAGTCAAAGGTAACCCTCCTTAGTAGCCAATTTTCGTATTTTTCCTTTTCTTATGTGCTATCATTCCTAGTGTCTAGATCAAATTTATCATCGATCGTCTTCTCAATTTTATGCATTGACTTGCCAAGAATATGTACTTTGTGTTAAGTTATGAAAAGGATCGAGTCATTCACCTAAAATACCTGCAGGGACAAATAACATACTCAGTCTTTATGGGGTATCATCCAGTATTATATTTATTAGAATATCATTCATTTACTTCTTTGGTTTGACTAGATAAGTTCAAGGATATCTTCTTTGAGACCCTGGGCTCACAATTTCGAGGCAATGAAGCGATCGATGAACTGCAAGATCGGCTGCCTGAGTTCGGGGGAAATCCAGTGTTGTTGGTTCTGGATGATGTTTGGCCCGCCTCAAAAAATGTTGTTGAAGAGTTTAGGGTCCAAATATCAGCAGGCTCTAAAATTTTCGTGACTTCAAGAGTCCCAATTATCACACTCGGACGATACCCCATGGAACAACTTTCTGAAGATGATGCAGTGGCTCTTTTCCTTCACTTTATTCAACCAAGCGACATTGATTTTGATGACAACGAAATACGAAAAATTGTCCTGCAGGTGACACATATAGTATATTCATTTATTTTTCTCCCAATGATTTCTGTGAGATGTGATAAGACATGATGAGTCAAAACTCTGTTGCTTCCTCTCATATTACAGGCTAGTTAATTAACTACAACACTGGCACTTTAGATAATGCATGTGAAATGGAAAACTAAAAATGATGGCAGTATTCTGTGGAGAGCATATTCTGGCACATAAAGGAATCAAGGTCATAAGTCATAACCTTAATTAGAGTCACTGATTTTATTTGGTTGACTGAAATGCAGATAGTGAAAGGTTGTAAGCGTCTGCCACTTGCTCTTGAATTCATTGGTCGCGAACTACAAGATAAGGGTATTGAGGAGTTGCAAAAAGTACAGTTAGAATGGTCACGTGGCCAGTCTATCCTTGATTCGAATTCAGAGTTGCTTGCCCATCTCCAAAATTCCCTGAATCTGCTAGTAGATGAGTCCATCAGGGAATGCTTCATGGACCTTGGATTGTTTCCTGAAGATCAAAAGATACCTGTTTCTGCTTTGATTGACATCTGGACAGAACTTTATAACCTTGATGAACTTGGCATATGTGCAATGACCATCATCCGCAAATTGATGGACCTGAATCTGGCTGCTGGCATCAAAGTTAGAAGGTATATATGCATGTACTGCATATTGGAATTTTGAGATATAGGCATATATGAGGTTTGAATCTGATATGATTTCCCTTAACATGATATACCTTCAATTCTTTCTCTAATTAATCAATGTGTGGCTCTTTTTAATGTATTCTCTAATATCCTTTCTGCTACTTTATTCTTCTTCTTTGCCTAGGCTTTTGCTTCTTTTGAGTTTCAAAGGCCTCAGGTTCACAATTATTTCTGATATATTCTCTAATAATGCATTCTTCCATCATAGTCCGCTTTGGCTGTAAGTTGGGGACAAATTCATGCATAGGTTTTTAATCTTCTTACATTTGGGTTTTCATTCCTGTTTTCTGCAGGATAGTCAGGATCAGGAGGGTTGAAGACAATTACTACAATAACCACTTCCTCGTGCAGCATGATCTTTTCAGAGAGTTGGCCATACATATAAGCAACCAAGAACTATTTGAGAATAGGAAAAGACTGATCATTGACATGAATGGGAATGATCATCCACAATGGTGGCCTCAGCAGAACCAGCAGGAAGGCATCACTGCTCACGCCCTGTCCTATTTTACCAAATGGTTTAAGGATCCGAATCAGAAATGCGTATCTGCTCGTATACTGTCTATATCAACAGGTTTGCTTATCTCTTTTGATATTGAATCAATGCACATCACTAAACTAAGAAGATAACATCCATCCTTTTTCACATTTGATGCAGACCAAGACATCAATCCCGATTGGTGCAACGTTCAAGCAGATGATGCTATTGTTCTGGTTTTGAATCTGAGAACTACAAAATACACTTTACCTGAATTCATTAAGCAAATGAGAAATCTGAGAGTTCTTATAGTGACAAATTATGGCTTCCGTCCCTCTGAGTTAAAAAACCTTGAGCTTCTCGAGTTTCTAAGGAAACTCAAAAGAATCAGATTGGAGGGGGTTTCAGTTCCTCCCCTTTGCAGATTGAAGAACGTGTGCAAGTTATCGCTTTATATGTGTGAAGTGAAAAAGGCTTTTGAAACCAGTTCCATTGAATTCTCAAAGGCAATGCCTGGTCTGGTGGAATTGAACATTGATTACTGCAAAGATTTGGCGAAGTTGCCATCTGGGCTCTGTGACACTACCACCCTGAGGAAGCTCAGCATCAGTCATTGCAATGAGTTTAATGAACTTCCACAAGAAATTGGGAAGCTTGAGAAGTTGGAATTACTAAGGATTAGTTATTGTCCTGATATTAAAGATATGCCAGAGTCGATCACAAAGCTGAAGAATCTAAGCTTTCTAGACATCACTTACTGTGGAAGCCTTAGGAAATTACCAGACAAGATTGGTGAGCTAAGGAGTCTGAGAAAGTTTTATATGCCGAGCTGCGCAATAATGGAATTGCCAGACTCAATCAAGGATATGGACAATCTCCAGAGTGTGATATGCGATGAGTACACATATCCTTTTTGGGAAGTCATCAAATATATCCACTCTGGACTAAACATAAAGATAGCCAAAACCATGGACACTGTCTTGGATTGGCTTCTTGATTTGAGCTCCAGGGGCTTGTTCCATTAAGTTGCTCATCTTGTTATGAATCATGTCAAAACAATGTTGTTCATCCTTCTCTGTCTCTCTTGTTTTGTCTTCTGACTTTGTAATGGGACTAAATCACACTCCTTCAATTGGACAAAGTATAAACATAAGATCAGATCAGACACACAACATGAAGCAGATGTTTAAGAATTTCATTTTAGTAAAAATTAATACTCCTCTTATCCTAAATATAAAATCTTTATACACATTACAAAAAAAGTCTCATATTTAGAACCGGAGGAGTAATATATTCTCCCCTTTTTATCAATTTTTTATTATAATAATGCAATAAAAATTGTATAACTTTTAAAATAGTTGTAGTTGTTACAATTTAATCTTTAATGTCACATGATGAAGTTATTAAACGTCCTAAATATTTCATTGTTTTGAAGGAAAGAACCACATATATAGTAAAAATATTTTTTTAAAATTAAATCTAAATCTATTAACTGTTAATATAATTTATTCTTAAAAAAGCAGAAGACCACAATTTAAAAATATAAACCAAAATTAGACAAGACAAATATAAGTAAGACCATATTTCTTTGCACATTTTCTTTCATATTTATTATAAGGGAATATTTAAAAGTAAAAGTATATTTTTAACATATGTATTAATTTTAATTAACTTTAACTAATTATTTATTATTTATAAATTAGTTATTTAAAATTTATAACGATGAATGGAGGAAGAAATAGAGAGGCGCGAAGGGATCGGGGCCAATAATTGAAGTGGGAAGGAGGGTGGAGTTGGAGTTGCACCGACACAAACGGATGAGCATGGACTTACGAAAAGTCCTATAATAATTAAATACTGAAATAAAATATTTTTAAAGGAAAAAACACGGAATTTAAAGCCCGCATCCAGAAGGTCGTGCCACGGCTTCCCCACTCCAATGAACATCGTGAAATGAGCTTCTACTGACTCCCTCACTTCTCTATCCACGTGGATGTTCTCCCCATCAATCACGTGGACCCCACCCCCAGTTAATCCCACCTTAATCACACTCACCCGCCCTGCATCCACTTTTCTCGTCATTATCTCCTCCTCCATTCTTCCTACTTCTTTCCAACCTTCACTGTCATTCTAGCCTCTTTCCCTTTTTATTAGTGTTAGATTATTCTTTCGAATGAGATGATGGGTAAATATGCCGAAACAATCATCATTTATAAATATTTCAAAAATTGAAGTAAATACTTCCAAAATTTTTCCCCAGTAAAAAAAATATTAATCATGTGTAATTAAGTCTAGAAATTACATTTACCTTAAATTTAAATATTATGGATAGTTCGAATGATGATTACATTATGAAGAAACCCATGTGTTGGGATGCTCTTCATTATTTATTAATACTCTAACTATTTTTAATATAAGACTTATTTTACAGTATAATTTAAATTAGACATAGGAGGAATTATATATGTCTTTTAAGGAAGAGAAGACAATTATTGTAGTTGGGAGGGTCTTAAGACAGCGAAACACCAGCTTATTGTACAGGATAGGACGCCATTCTTCTACGCCATTATCATTTCAAAGTTCACACCCATTTGCCCAGGCACATGGCACCCTCAGAAGGCCCCAAAAAACGGAGGAAGGACGCTTCTCCTTTAAAGGTTTTTTTTTTTATGTGTTTATTAAACAAAATAGCTTATTTTCGGATTGACTCTTATTTTGTCCAAGTCTCTGACTGATTTCCTTGTAAATTTCCCCTTAGAAATATTATGTGATCGTTAGTCTGTCAAATCAGGGCACTTTGCCCGCCAGAGGAATCAATCCTCATCCCCTCCAACACTTTGTCAAAGAAAATATTACTCTTGTCCTTATTATAACTTACTTGTAAGAAAAATTTTGTTTACCTTAAACACAGGTTACTTATAAAATATTTCATAATTACTTTTTACTTTTTGTTCAAAAAATATAAGAATAATTTGTCAGCGTAAACACAAAAAACATTTTAAAAAAAGTAAATTTAAAATTTTTTATTAATTTAATATACTTCGTGAAAATAAGTTATAAGTGATGAAGTTGTAACGTATATATTCGACATCTTATTCTCATACAAATTACTCTATGCATTTATCCTTTTTACTTAAAACAAATCATTCTTTCTTCTTTTTTTTTATTTGGCTCAAAACAACTCAGTTGCCATAATTTTGAATCGATAATGAACAGAAAGCTCAACAACTAAGCATGATATTTAAAATTCAAAAAAAAAAAAAGGAGCTTTCTTCTATATGATTTTCCCAAATAAAAATTTATTCCTAGCCCTGAATGATGGATTTTAACATTGAAGATGAAGATGGATGGTTTGAAAATAATATAAATGGGACAGATCAAATAGGGATTATTTTAAACAAGCATAATTTAGATATTAGGACAAAAGAATTGATCCTATGGAGTGGACAAAAGCTCAAGACATAAAATACATTACAACTGTGTCCTCCTACACTTCAGCAATCTCGGTTGAATTTACAAACATTAAGATTTAAGTATCACCAAACTTTTCCAGCAAATAAAATAAAATTAAAAACCATGACTTCAATTGGGGAAAAAAAATAAGAAAAAGAAAATAAAAGTAATGATAATCATAGCATGACACACCTCTGAGCAACTTCTGTGTGCTGTTCTTCTTCATCTTCATCCAACAGTCCATTTCCAGATCTTGAATCTAACATCGACCTTGCACTTGGCGTTTGAAGTTGACGCCGTCACCGGCTTCTTGCCGGACGGAGGAGTGACCTTGATCCCGTCACAGGATACTCTGATCCCGACTTTGGGCGTCTTCAAACTCCCCATCTTCGCCGTCACCTTCGTCTTCAAATTTACCTCTAATGGCAATCCACCCTTGCTCTTCATGCTCGACTTCAATTCCCAGCACTCTCGCCGTCCACCGTCTGCTTGCTGCTCGAAACCGTAGCCTTCAACATCGTGGTGTTCTTCTTCCCGTGTTCGAAAGCGGGGATCGTGCCGTCGCCGATATCGACGCCGTCAGAGAGAATCGAAATCGAGGTGGGCTCGTAGTTGAAGACGATGTTCTTGTTAGGGTTTCGCGCGGTAACGCTGATGTCGAATTTAGAGTCTACCGTTGAAGACGAGGAAGTGAGGTTAAGGTAGGCGAGTTTCAGGGAAGTGACAGTGAAGGTAGGCCTGTGTGGGCGGTAGATTAGGTAGAAAATAACTCCGGCGACGCCGATGATGAGGAGGAGGATGAGGATGATGAGGAGAAACCAGTATAAGAATCTGCAGCAGCATCTGCGATGGCTACGGCGGTGGTGAGGTTGGGGACGGTAGGTAGGTCTGGTGGCGCCGTAGAGTTGAGCTTTGGTAGCAGGAAATGAAGGATTAGCGGCACCACCGTTGGTAGTGGCGGTGCCGTTAGCCGTAGGCTTGGCGGAAGGATAGATCCTCTCTGCCATGGAACCAGTGTAGAAGGAAGAAGAAGAAAAGGAGAGAGAGAGAGGAATGAAGTGGAGAAGAGAATTAAAGACTAAAGAGAAAGGTACCTGTTATCCTTCTAAATTATGAGAGAGATGGAGATTAAAAGGTCTATAAGTGAAGAAAAAGGTCATTGCGTTTGTGTTTATTATTATTATATTTTATTATTAGCAAATAATAATATCAAATTATTATAATGAAATTACATTAAATCTCGAGTCTTCAACGTTATTTTAGTGTACCATTCAGAGAAACGGCTATTTTTTATGGTGACACGTCTTTGTTAATATGACACGTCTTTGTTGAAAAATAACAACAATTTATTCGGTATTTCTTGTTATGTATAACGAAAAGTTGCTTTGTTAATATCAAATTTAGACTTGTCATTTTCCAGTAAAGACGTGTTTTTTTCAAATAAATTATGGTCATTTTTAATTAACGTAGATGCTATTTCTTGTTATGTATAAGGAAAAGTTGTCTTGTTAATATCAATTTTAGACTTGTCATTTTATAGTAAAGACGTGTCATTTTTAAATAAATTATGATCATTTTTAATTAATGCACATGCTGCTATGTTATGTATAAGGAAAAGTTGCTTTGTTAATATCAAATTTAGACTTGTTATTTCTCAATTAAGACTTGTCATCCTCAGATAAATTGTTGTCACGAGCTGGAGTCACAGTAAAAGAGTTAACTTATATTTTTGTTTGCATTATAAGGTTAAGAAATCTTTGATGGTCCAATGGCCATCCTTTTGTTAGTCCAAGTGGGCAAGAGGTTGTGGGATCAAATCCCACCCCCGCCACTTTGAACCAATATTATCCTATTCCCAAAAAAAAAAATCTTGTCACAAAAATCCTTCACCGGCAGCCACCACACCGGTGGCCGGAGGCGGTCGGCGGCCGCCGGAGGCCAGTCGCCGGCGGTGGTCGCCGGCCGCCGGCGGTGGTCGCCGGCCGCCGGCCACCGGTGAGGGGCTGGGTTTTTTTTTTTAAAAAAAAAGAACAAAGGGCATTTTTGTCATTTCACTGAATTTCAAAATTCCAATTTGGGAAGGACTTCCCTATGGGTAATTACATTTCCTTAGCTTCCCAAATTGACATTTCACATTTTGGAGCTTCTTTATCTGTCATTTTCCCAAAATATAAATGATACCGTTCATTATTATAAATAAAACTTTATATTTAATTTAAAATAATATGTTTTTTAATGAGTTTATGGTACAGTTTTAATTTAAAAAGAAAAAGACAAAAGAAAAGCGGAGGAAGAAAAAGGAGAATAGTGAGGTAGGACGGATGGGAACGTTCCAACGAGAGACAAAAGCTGTGTCCAGCTCGTAGTGAGCGCGTGCGGAATCTATACCAACCTCTGCGTCTCATTTATTATTTATTTATTTATTTATTTTACTTTTGGTCAATTTGGATCATTTTCTATTTTTTTTAGAAAAAAACAAAATGATATCCGATGCTCCTCCCGTCCTCCGGTCCTTGATTTTGAATAAAATATATTTATTAAATTGATTTTAATTCTAAATATAAAATTTATTTTTTGTATTTATTAATTTTTTAAATTATTTATATAGATATTTCCTTAACTATAATCAAATAAGAAAAGAGAAAGATACTAAGAAAGATAATTATAGTACTTTAAATAAAATATTTCATATTTTTTATAACTAACTAATAACAAATTTATCTAACTTCCTTAATATAATTAAAGTAATCTTATATTAAGGAAAAATAATAATATAAGTTTACAACTTATAGTTAGTGAAGTAAAATAAAATCTTAAGAAATTATTAAGAAAACTAAAATTAAAATGATCCAAAAGTTAACAAACAGAAAATTTAAAAAGCAAAACTCAAGTCTCCCCAAATGACAGTGAAAGTCGAACAAGTTTATGGAAAAGTTTGAAGAAAATCTGTCTCGATAAAGTAAGTAAGTGCTTAGTGCCTTAGTGGCACCTCAAGGTAGGGTTGCAAGACATCGTTCTCTGCTTCCATTGAAACCCACGCCGCCCAAAAAAAAGAAGAAGAAGATATTAGTAAGTATTAGTATTATTTTAATATGAAAAATTAAATAATTAGTATTTTTAACCCAATTGACTTTTCATGACCTTTCCAGATACACACGCATGGCACCTATGTGTGATTAGAGTGATCCCCATAGAATTTTGTGAACCCTGAATTTGAAATTAATGGTATTGATATATATAATCTGTGGATAATGCTCCATAGTTTTGTACTTTGTACAGAAAATATAATATAGAAATATATAATTCTTTTCCCTTCAAACCAACTTCAATATGCATATTTCATTCATCCATTTTACGTGTTTATGCGTATTTTGGAACAGATATCCATTCCCTACCTATTCTACATTTTTCTTAGATAAGAGAAAAATGATACTATATCCGATCTTATTTATGTTCTCCAAATAAGTTCTTATAAATAGGACCGAACATAGTACACTGATTTGGAGGGTTTGTTTAGAGTAATTAAGACCGAAGGAATTAATTGACATATTTCCGCCCATTTTGTTCACATTATGACTCCCATTAATTGTCCTTTCATGTTTTGAAAGAGCCATAACCATTAACTAGAATGAGGCCCCTATCTTATCACTGATAACGGACTTTATAATTAATATATACTATTGTGGAATAATTTTTTTTTTCTAAACAAAATTTTGTGCGAATTTTTTAAATTTTATTTTATTAGCACAGTGAGTTTTATAACCTTATTCTACTCGTGTCATTAACTTTTGTAAAATGGATGCTACTAATATAACAAAGTTAATTGATTTAATATAAAAATATAAATATAGATATCTGTAAAATATTTTTCCTATGAACTTCCTCTTCCTCTCCTTCTACTACTTCCATCCCTTCTATCTATCCACTTCAATGGACAACAGACTTATATAAATCTTTATTACAAACTCAGCTTATTCACTACTTTTAGTTTAGAAAACACTTACTCTACTCTAAGACAACTCATATTAACAGTTACTGATGACACTACCTAATTGGCTTCATTCATTCACAATGAGCCCAATAAAAATAAAAATAAAAACTTTTCATGTTAATTTTTTTTAAGAGACCAATGCAATAATTTTATACTCAGTCAAGGTTTTTTTTTTTTGTCGTGCCTCAATTATACTATTATCTGCTTCGGCAGAATTATTTCGTGATTTCTTCTGTGACAAATTCGTTTATTTTATTTATTATTTATTTATTCTTGATTGTGTAATTTAACGGTATTGACGATATTCTGAACAACCAAATACGACGGCTATTCATATGCAAATAAATCATATGAAGTTTAATGAGCAAGTGTAATACTCTTAAATATTAAAATAAAGACCAATTTTTGAATCAAAAAAGTAAATCGACATGATTCCGAAAATATAATTTGCCCTTGTCAATTCTCAAATTTTCAATTTGTACCACTTAAACTTCCAATTTCCAACATTTTTTGCGATAAGAAAATTCTTATTTGACACTGTTAATTTTATAATTAATTATTGAACTGTCATATCCCACTCATAAATATGTGATATGAATGTAAACCTGTATAAAGAGACTAATAAAGTAGTCTGCAAAATAAGAGTCGGATTCTTTGAAAGCCACATTCCGGGCTTTGGAAAGTCTCTTTCATTAAAAAAATATTTCGGTGGAAACAAAACTATAATTTTAAAAATATTTTTACGGTGTGCAAAGTAAATATATGAAGGAATTTGTTTCAATTTGTAGAAAAATACTTTTAAAAAGCATTTTTTCACTAATCCAAACACTTCTTAAATCCAAAGCTTACAGCACTTTCTTTGGGTTTGGGACCAAATCCCTACCTCATTATAAATATTTTAAAAAAAATAAAAAAATATTTTAAAATCCATCATGTGCTTTTGTTTAAGTTAGCTGTTTAAATTTAAATATATTTTTAACATACCTTTTAATTAAATTGAAACTTTTATATAGTTATCCTTATTACTAGGTCATATTCAGCATACATTGTCAATCTTAACCGAGAATAATTTTGTTTAGACAATACTTTTATCAAGTTATTTACATTCGTTATGTTACATTCTCCAGTCATATATAGCCATATGTCTTATTTTTAAAATATTAGCATTTAATAGCATTTAATTATAAATTCATATGAAAGAAAAAAATAATACATACCCATGTGTAATTGAAAATTTTAACATAATAGACATAAACAACATGATGCAAGTTTTGTTCTTTTTCTTAAATAGATATTCTGCGTTCAAATAGATTCAAATTCGAGATACCAATACTTTAGCAGTTAAAATTCTTAGTTTGAAGAGCAAAATATTATTTAGAATATAGAAAATATATATAAAAAAGAAAAACTAATAAAACAAAAATCTTCGACTGAAAAAGATGCGAGAACGAGAGAGGTCTAGGGAACGCATGACGCCGGCACCGACGCCGGAAGAACGAGACGCCTTGTTACGAAGCCGGAAGAAGGTTCGAGCCGGAGATGGTGTTTTCTCCGAAGATCAACTTCTTCGACCTAGGGTTGAAGACTGGATGTATGACGAACAGTCCGCGACTGGTGACGAGGGAACTACGGTGACGGCGAAGCACTCTGAGAATGGATCTGGTGTTGGACCGGAGAAGCAGGAAAAACTGGAGGGTGGGGGTTCAGGAATGAAATGGAAATCATTTAAACATGCTGTCACGAGGGAGAAGGATTTTGTAGAGGAGGAGGATTGGTGGAGTAATGGAAGATGGAAGGAGCGTATCCAGGTCGTCATGACAAATTTGGGTCCGAATATCATCATCCCTGAGCAAGAAAAAGAGCGGCTGGCCAAACAATGGAAGAGGGCGCTGATTGTGAAACTTTTGGGACGAATGGTCAATCCAGAGTATTTGGAGTTTAAACTCCGACAGTTGTGGGCACGACAGGGGGAGGTCGACACCATTGATGTGGGAGCAGGTTTCTTTGTGGTGAATTTTAATAATGACCAAGACTATGATCAGGCTCTGACGGGTGGTCCTTGGCTTATCTATGATCACTATCTTGCAGTTCAACCGTGGAGCCGGAGTTTGATCCTGAGGAAGAGACAATAACCAGAATTGCAGCTTGGGTACGCATAGCAAAGCTACCTCTAGATTATTATGATACTGGCCTCCTGCATGTGCTTGGTTCACAGATTGGAAAGGTTCTGAAGTTGGATACAAATACTATGAGTCGTAAGAAGGGGTGTTTTGCGCGGATTTGTGTCGAGCTGGATTTGAATGCACCTCTACGACCGCTGATTCTAGTTAATGGTAAAGCCAAGAGGGTGCAATACGAGGGAATTCACCTCATATGCTTTCGTTGTGGTCGTTATGGCCATAATGCTGACCATTGCTCGAACACGATGTCGGTGGACAAGGATAAGGGACTAAGGGGACAGCAGGGGGAGCATCCTGAAGGACCAGCTGAAAGCTCGGCGGCGACACCGTCAGCAACAGTCACAAACACAAAGAACTCATCGGGTTCAGAGTCCTTGTATGACCCCTGGATGATCGTTCAACGGCCCCGCCGAGGTAGGCGGCCGGAGCTTCGAATTGGGAAAGGGGATGAAGAACGGCGGAAGTCTCGGGATAGAGCAGCTGAGAAGGAGCAAGGATCTCGGTTTAATTCGTTGATTGTTGAGGAGGGAGAGATTGAGGGCGAGAATGTGGAGCCGCCGGCTACATCGGGAAATATTTTGAAGGAGCACGTGACAAAAGGAGATAATAAAGGGGTGTCAGCTGGGCAAAAAACAAAAAATGATGTTGGGCCTCGAAACAAATTGAAAGGGATAGTGAGCAAAATAGTCGGGCCTCAGAACAGAGCTTGTGGTGAAGGAACTTCAAAAACCAAAAATCAGGGTGTGACTTCCAGTGAGATGCCTAGACTTTTGAATGCTAAGTCTAAACTAGGACTGGGCCGAAGTGATGTGAAGAAGGTAGCTCAAGAAGGTGGTGAACAAGGTTTAACAGGGAAAGACGATATCCCAGCCTTGGTTAAGGACGGTACTGGACGCGACCCACCTCAGAGGAGTCCTGCCGTGGTACCAATGGACATAATAGAAGGGGACCCACCTGATCCTGGAGCAACTGGGCATAATGTGCTTGCCATACATGATAATCCTTTATCGGATGTGCTACAGAATGATTTGAGGTTTGGGGAGGATGGTTCCAAGGCGGATTCGTAGGAGTCCCTTGTTGATCTGGTTACTCTTTTGTCTTAGGTTGTTTATGGATAGTCAAATATGCATATGGAATTCAAGGGGGGTTGGTGCGAAGACCTTTGGAAGGTTACTAACTGACATGAAGAAAAGATATAATTTTAGCTTCTTGGCTTTATTGGAAACACGTCAGAACAGTCATAAAGCGTGGGCCCTTGCTAGACGTATTGGCTTCAAGTATGTCGATGTGGTGGAAGCGGCTGGGTATAGTGGGGGAATATGGTGCTTTTGGGAAGACGATGTAGATTTCACAGTTACTCGGAAACATCCCCAACTCATACATGGCACGTTTAACATTGGTAAGGAGTCGGCCTGGGATTTATCTGTGGTGTACGGCCATCCTAACCCCAGTAAGCGTAGAGATCTTTGGACTGAACTCCGTAATATTGAAGAAGGCGGTGTAGGTAGGTGGTGTGTGGGCGGTGATTTCAATGCAATATTGCACCGGAATGAGCGAAAATCTAAAGCTCATGAGGCAACTGGACCGGACCGCGGCTTTGTGAACTGGTTTAATAATAGCGACATGACAGATCTGAACTTTCAGGGTCCACAATTCACATGGAAGCGAGGACATGCCCAGAGTCGGTTAGATCGTGTTGTTGTGAACACAGACTGGTTTGAAACCTTCCCTTTAGCTCTGGTCCTTCATCTACCTAAATTAAAGTCGGATCACTGTCCATTATTAATCAGGCTACGGGATAAAGGTACTCAGAAAAAATGTGATACTAGTTTCAGATTTTTTGCGCCTTGGACAATGCATGAAGAATTTGAGGCTTTCGTTAAACAGAATTGGCGGGATGACTGTCCATGGGACACAAATATTACGAGGTTTACAACTGAGGTTCAAGGTTGGAATAAGAAAGTCTTTGGTAATATTGAAAGACGGAAAATGGCTTTATATGCTCAATTGGACCAACTCAATAATCTTAATCTTGATAGTCCTCTGTGGAATAAGAAGAGGTGTGAGGTTTGGCTTGAGCTTGAGAAGTGTCTCCAGCAAGAAGAGTTGATGTGGGTGCAACGTTCGAGATGTAATTGGTATCATCATGGGGATAAAAATACCAGGTATTTTCATACAGTCACTCAATGTAGGAAAAGAAGGAAGAATATTGAAGCTCTTCAAGATATGAATGGGGAATGGTGCTATGATCAAGAAAGTCTTCGTCGTGAAGGTACGAATTTTTTCCAAAAATTATATACTGTACAGAATACTCAGGCTTCTGAAATTAATTTTGGTGGGTCGTACCCCATGATTCTTGAAGATAAAATCGATGTCTTGGGTTATATAGCATCTCAGCAGGAAATCAAGCATGCTTTATTCAGTATGGGATCTTTGAAGGCCCCGGGCCCTGATGGATTAAATCCTCTGTTTTATCAAAGTCAATGGAGTACAGTGGGTAAATCGATGACTTCTATGGTTCAATCTAGTTTCACTACACCTGATCTGATAAAGAATTTTAATGGCACCAATATTGTACTTATTCCTAAAGTAGAGGTTCCCCAAACTTTTCGAGATCTTCGTCCAATTAGTCTGTGCAATGTCCTTTACAAAGTGGTGACTAAAGTCTTAGCAAATAGATTGAAAGAAGTAATGCCTTTAATTATTGCACCCAATCAATGTAGTTTCGTCCCAGGTCGACAAAGCTCGGATAATATTATTTTGGTACAGGAAGTTATTCACTCTATGCGTACGTCTAAGAGAAAGAAGGGATTTATGGCTTTGAAAATTGATTTGGAGAAGGCGTATGACAGGGTTAGATGGGATTTTGTGGTGAACTGCTTGACCGAGTTGGGCCTTCCTAATAAATTTATTGATATTGTTCATTGTTGTCTAACTTCAGTTGAAATGCAGATCATATGGAATGGTTCTAAGGGAGCTACCTTCAATCCAACCAGAGGAATAAGGCAAGGGGATCCCCTATCCCCGTATTTGTTTGTCATTGTTATGGAGAAATTAGGACATCTTATTCAGAGTGAGGTGGGGTCCGGAAATTGGCTTCCCTTTCGTTTGAAGCGACATGGTACAGCTATCTCCCATTTATTTTTTGCAGATGATCTCATTCTATTTGCGGAGGCTAGCCTGGACCAAGCAGGCGTTGTTAAAGCCTGTTTAGATGATTTTTGTGCGGCTTCAGGGGAGAAAGTAAATAATTTGAAATCCAGAATCTTTTTCTCAAAGGGTGTGAATCATAATCGACGAGATGAGATTAGTAAGTTCCTTGAGTTCACTCCCACGGTGGACTTGGGCAAGTATCTGGGAGTTTCGCTACATCACCACCGAGTCTCAAGGCGTACATATGAGTATGTGCTCAATAAGATGGACCAACGGCTCACTAATTGGAAGGCGAATACCCTTTCCTTGGCAGCTCGACACACGTTGGTGTCCTCGGTGGTCTCAGCAATACCAAACTACTCCATGCAATCAACGTTACTTCCTATTAATGTCTGCAACGAGATTGATAGAAAATGTCGCAGTTTCCTTTGGGGGAGTACAAGTGCGGCAAGGAAGATGCATCATGTGGCTTGGGAGGAAGTTTGTCAAAGTAAGGAACAGGGTGGCTTGGGCTTAAGACATGCCCGTAAACAAAATACTGCCTTTATGATGAAGCTGGGCTGGGGCCTTGTGAATCGGCGGGATGCTCTGTGGGTGCAATTTTTGAGAGAAAAGTATAAATGCGGCGAGGATGTTATCCCTCAGATCAAAAAACGCAAGTGTGCCTCACAGACTTGGAAGGGTATTACTCTAGCTTGGGATTCTACTAAGAAAGGTATTGGGTGGCGCCTAGGTAACGGTGCTCGGATTCGGTTTTGGGAAGATGCTTGGCTACCGAATCACAATCAGTTGAGCTCCTATGTGGTAAGGGATGTTTCAGAATCGATGCGTGAGGAGAAAGTTGCTGAGTATATTACTGCTTCAGGCTCTTGGGACTGGACTCGTTTTGCTTCATTCCTTCCTACCGCAATGCTTACTGCGATTGAGCGTGTCCTACTTTCAGATATGTGGAATTTGATTGATAGCCCACGATGGAAACTTACTAATGATGGGAGTTTTACTGTTAAGTCTGCATACAATATGATTTGTAGTCAGAATGCGTATACAAATAAACGTTTATGGAGGAAGATTTGGAAATTACCAGTTCCTCAGAGGTGCAAAACCTTTCTTTGGTTATGTGGTAGAGGCAGGTTGCATACAAATAGTCTACGAGTGATGCGCGGAATAAGTAGTCATTTGAGTTGTGATCTTTGTGGAGCAGTTTGTGAGAATGCGCTTCACGCACTGCGGGACTGTGGGATAGCCAATGCTTGTTGGGGAGTGCTGGTGCCTAATGAGTTGAGGCGCAAGTTTTTCAAGTGTGGGGACATCATAGAGTGGATTAGTTGGAATATTGGCCTCAACTGCAGAAGCTTGGATGTTCCTTGGTGTGTTTGGTTTACAGTCGTAGCTCGGCAGATTTGGATGAATCGGAATGATGGTGTCCTTAATCGAAAATTAAAGGGAAGTCTCTCTATTATTGCCCAGTCGAAGGCCATTATTGCGTGTTCGAGGGTGAGCTATGGGGCTGCTACTGAAGCATGGACAATTTGCAAATGGCAGCCACCTCTTGTGGGATGCGTCAAGTACAATGTTGATGGGGCAGCCGGGAATGGGAGTTCGCTAGCAGCTTGTGGTGGTGTAGCTAGGGACCATGCAGGGAACTGGTTGGATGGTTTTATGTTTCACATTGGAAGAGGTAGTAGTTTTCACGCGGAAGTGTGGGCTGTGCTTTGGGGTCTGAAAAGAGCCTGGGATATGAATTGGAAATGGGTTGTTATTGAGACTGATTGCCGAGAGCTTGTAGATATTTTAGACACTGGTTGGCACGAGGATCATCTAGATAAAGGCCTACTTGCTGAGATTCAAGGATGGCTTGCAAGGGAATGGGATGCAAGCATAACTTGGAGCAACCGTGGTGCCAATATGGTGGCAGATTTATTGGCTAAGAGTTCGCTTACTGCTGCTGAGGGATTAAGTGTTCTTTATTCTCCTCCAGATTTTGTTGTTAGTTATATGTTGTCTGATATAGGATAGTTTCTTTTTACTGCTGGTTGTTATAAAAAAAAAAAAAAGAATATAGAAAATATATTATTTAATAGAATTTTTTGGGAATTAACAAAAAGAAGCAGAAAAGAAAACAAGTGATGTGAGGTGGTGAAAGGCAAGTGGCAAAATTCAAGGACGCAACCACTGCCATATCATGATAATATTTGAATCGCACTCGTATATGAAATGAAGGTCAAGCTACCTGCAATTTTCGATTTGATTCCTTACCTTCCCTTGCTTATTATATTTTATATAATACTATTAAATCATAATTAATGTGATCTCATTATCTTCCCCTCTTAAAAAAGTCCATGTTTATGAAATCATTTCTCATGAGAATTTTATTTTAATTATTTTTTGTGTGCTATATATACAAAAAAAAAGAAATTAATAAATAAAATACAGTACGTAATATAAATTTAAACTAAATATCTCAAGCCACTGTAACGGTTGGAAGTTGGAAGTTGGAAGTTAAGAGTTGAAAATCGCAGGTTCACAATTCCATACAACATGCACAGAAAATAACTGAAGAAATATAACAAAAAAACGCAAAAAAAAAATAAAAAATAAAAAGGAAACATCATGGAGCCTAAAAGGATAATCGCGACTTCTGAGATAAAACATGAAATTGTTTTAATATATTGATGTTTAAAATGATTGGCGCATCAATTTTATGATGATTGGAATATTCAAGAAGAGCATTAAGTATAATATGGTTGAACATTGAAGAGATATATATATATCATCACTACTAATTTATGTGTAAGATTAAAGATATCCTAAACAGAGACATCCAATTGTCATGATAGATGAAATGTTACTTTCTTCTCATCATGCCGTCTCATCAAAGATAAAAAGAAGACTATAGAAACACACAAAACTATCT